GGTTATCTGCTGCCTTAATACAAAACCTATAAATATATGTACATAGATCTTTTTCCCTACCGTTATATATTTACATATGTACATGCCTGTATTTAGACCTCTATAAATGTCCTTAGCCTCCTAGTTCTTTCCTCTATTTCCTTTTATTTTCCTCTTGTCCCACTATCATGTTCGGCCTTCATTCGGGTTTCAGTAATTCCTCTTGGCTATATTGCCTTTGATCAAGCCCTGCCAGGCTTCCTATGCCCTCCTTGCCATCAATTTTAGATCAGTTATTGTTTCCTTGTCCCTGGGTTTATTGATACCCCCATTCTTTCCCCTGCCTCCCCTTCTCCCATGTCGCCCCCAGAACCATCGATCCCCTTGTTTTCTCCTCCAGATTGTTTATTCCACCTATCTTATCTAGATAGACATTCAGAGACAATAATAAGCACAAAAACAAGACAAAGCAAAACAAAACAAAAAACCAAAACAACAAAACAAATAATGACCAGAAAATAGAAAAGAAAAGAAAAGCCTATAAATAGTTCCAGGTCTGTTTGATGACTTTTAGGAGTGTTTTCCTGTCGAGTCTGATGGGGTTCCACGCCCTGGCCCCAAAGTATTTTTGGTAATCCTTGGGGACTACATTGCTCTGCTCCCCTTGCTGTTCTGTTGCATGTCCTTAGTGTTTAGCCCCAGTGTGGCAGGGTCAGATTGGGCACAATTCCCACACTGTGTCTCCAGTTTTGTCCCCCGTAGCGCTATGGGTCAGTGAGGGACATTGTGTCTCGTGGTGGGGCTGGCCCCATGGTCCTCTATGTTCATTGGCTGATCTGAGCAGGAATACCATCCTTGAAGCTTGGTGGGCCAGGATGCGTTCCACTCTCTCTCCTTCCCTCTTTGTTTTATTTTGATATTTTCATTTAACAAAGGTCCTATGAGTTTTGGGCAATATTTTCTTCTCCTTTAACTTTTTATTTTGAATTGGGTGAAGTTTTGCAGCGCGGATCAATCGCTTTTACATTCAGCAATTCATGCCCGTGTGTTTCAGCTCATCCACTGCAATCCCCTCAATGCACCTTGACTATCCTACTTTCTCTGTTTCCTGTTTCCATCCTTTCTCTCCTAATCTTTGGCACTTTGTCACTGGGAAAACGCCACCCTTCAGATCTTAAGTGGTTGTTTATTCTACCCAGGGTTGAGTTCAGTTCCAGACTCGAAGGTCACCAAGAGCTATAATCTTTATGTGACCAGAAAACCTGGTCTCGTTTATGATTCTGCAGCCATACTTTTGGACTTACCCTGGGGCACACATCGATACAGGTTTCTATGTCCTTCGACACGTCACTTTATCTAGGTGGGAACTGGCTCTCTCAAGAACTGAAGGAAGAAACCATTCCCCTCATTGCCAGAAGTGAGATGTCTCTGGGGTTACCAACTCAGTCTGTCATTGATGTGGGCCTCCCAGGGACGGGAGCAATCTTCTGAATTGCCTTTGGGAGAAAGACGAATCAAGTCCATTGTTTTAGAATTACTATTTCTCTATAGGTGGGGGGAAGGTCTGTCTGGGTGTGGGTGTTTGTGGTCAGAAAAATAGTTTATAACCCAAAGAAGTATCCTATGTGGTCCTCCACTGTCAATCTCTTTCCCCCACCAGGAGAACCAGACCTACAGTCAGCTCTCAGCCTCTGAGCCCAAGGCTTCAGACAAACTTTTCCACTCTGACGTTAAGCCTCAAGAACCCAAGCCAGTGGAGAAACCCCCCCGGAAGCACAAAGTGCCTCTGACAGCAGCAGGTATGGTGAGGGGTGAGGTGGGTGGGCCGTGGTTGTTGGATTTGGTGGGAGTGGCTATGGGTGGTGGGGGTTCATAGGCTCATAGCCAATTCGATTTCCAAAAAAGAGCTTCTAGCGTCAACCTCAGAGGACCCCTGCCACTGCTTTCCCTGTGGCTGTCTCTCCCCTTAAGGAATTTCAGTGACCACCTGAGAAGCGATAGTTTCCATTTTGAGCAAGTTCTGTCTTGTGCAGAGCTGCCATCTGCCTCCTTGCGATCTTTCAAAGGAGGCCCCGTGACCCAGTGGTTAAGCACCTGCCTGCCGCTCACTGGAAGCTTGGCAGCTGGAACCCGCTCTGTGGGAGATCAACTTGGTCACCTCCTCCTATGAGGATTACAGCTCTGGGGGGCAGTTCTCCCCTGTCATCGGGGCCCATAGGGGTTGGAATCAACTTCATGGTACTAACAATAACATCCACATTCCCTGTAGGCCCCGGGTCTGTACTCAGGGTAAAGAACAGTTCATATTCAGCTGACACCTGCCTGCCCTTCACATATAGAAAGACAGATCAGTTTTTTTGATCTGGTCTGTTTTTTTCTTTGCTCTCTTGGCAGTTCCTTCTTCGCCTCTTTAATAGTTTCTCTAGTTACATGAAACAGCCCTCCTTCAACCCCAGTTCCTTTCCTCTGAGCTCGCTACACAGTGTTGTCGTTGTTACCTAGTACGTCCATAACAAAAGATATCACAAGGTAAGGAAGTGGTTTTAGGGAACAGGATTGTGTGTTTTCTCATGGTTCTGGAGCCCAAAGGTCAAATCAGGGACTGGGCCATCCAAATTCCTGCTGTGGTTCCTCCCCTAGTGCCACCACTCTTGGTGGCAACCATTGGCACGCCTTTGCTGCGTATAGTTGCATCGAGCTCCGTCGTCACCGGCATCTTCCCCCGTGTGTCTGTGACTGTTGTCTCTTGATAAGCCATCATTCAGGAAGGATCAGGGTCAAGACTCGCCCTTCATTCAGTATGACAGGACAAGAGAACCCCCTTCTTTCCTAACAGGATCACCGCAACAGAACTTTAGGGGGAGGGCACACAATTCACTCCATAACAAGTATATCATTCGTCCTCTCTCTGAAAGTGCGGCTCTCACCTCAGGACCCTTAGGCCGACCAAAGCACCAGACCCCTGATATGGTGGGGCCCCTACAGAGTAGGGAACGAACAAGCGTGCCTTCTTGAGGGTCTGAGAGGCTTCCTGCTTCAGCTGCATCCCCGAATGGCAATACCTCCCGGGCCTTCGAGGTCACCATGATGCGATAGTCATTCCCTGACGACATCAGAGTTTGCAGATCCTCTCGGGACACCCTGTCTGTTTCTAGAGCCATGGAATACACTGACTTTAGTCCAGCGGTTCTCAGCCTGTGGGTCGCGACTCCTTTGGGGCGGAATGACCCTTTCACAGGGGTTGCCCGATTCATAGCAGTAGCAAAATGACAGTGATGAAGTAGCGTCGAAAATAATGTTATGGTTGGGGGCCACTACAACATGAGGAAGTATATGAAAGGGTCGCGGCATCAGGAAGGTTGAGAACCACTCTGTAGTAGATAGCCTCTTCCCTACATACTATTGTTGATACGAAGTTTACTCTTGAATTTTTGACCCCTGCTGCTGTAACCCTAATTATTTGGGGAGGGGGACAAAATTATACCATTCCTTTGTGTTTTCTTCCTACTTCGTGAAATGACATAAAAGATTTAAATAATTATCCTGGTTAATTTTTTTTCCCCATGAGACCAACATGCCTGCTCCTTAGTGGACCATCTGGTTGAGGAGGGCCTGACTACATCAGAAATTAGGGGATGTCATCATTTACGCTCTGTGAAAATCCCCTCTGACACCCGACATGTTTTCCACAGAGGCCCTCAAGTTTTTTAAGAGCCAGCTGTCTCCGTACGAGCAAAGTGAAATCCTGGGCTACAGTGAGCTGTGGTTCCTTGGTCTCGACGCTCAGAAGCTCAAGTTGCCCCCAGAGACATTCAGCAAGACATGTTTTGATGACGAGCACGGCTCCTACATGAAGGTGATGGGGAAGCGGCTCAGGGTGGCCACCCAAGGCTTGGGACTTGGGGACCAGAGATCATCTCAAAAGGAAAACCAAGTGAGGAGCACTTTGCAGCATGTGGTGCTGAGGTATCGGGGCTAAAAGTCCTCTCGATAGCTCGCTGCCCTTGAGCCGCTCCTGACTCGGAAGCACACAGTGTTCACAGCGGAGCACGCACTTCAGGTGCGCAGTAATCTGCGCTGGACCGCGGTGTCTCCCCGAGAGCACTGGCAGTCTGGGCGACCTCTCACGGGCTCGCCTTCCACACAGCCTCGGACTGTGGAATCCGATGCACCTCCCTCCCACTCCTTTTGTGGCTCCTCGCAACAGATCCATGTATGGAATCTTCTCTGTTTCGTACACGTTACCTTCCCACATATGAAACGTGTGTCTGTGTTCTCTCACAGCAGTCTCTTGGCTAGTTTCAGCTTTCCAGGCTGACTCCCCAAGATTCATCCTCTTGCCCTCTGGCTGCACCTCCAGGGATTCCCAGGATCGTGCCTCCTCCCAGCCTGAAAGAGAAATGTGGACGGTGATGCTCCTTTGTTGTTTGGCGATTCCGAGCCCGTCCTGGCTCATCCGAAACCTTGTCATGAACAGCAGAACTAAACACGACCCGGTCCTGCACCAGCCTCGCAACTGTTGCCACTGGAGCCCATTATTGTAGTCAGTCCATCTCCTTGACGGCCTTCCTTTTCCCTACGCGCTGCCAAGCATGGCGTCCTTCTCTAGGGTCTGGGTCAGGTATCCCTTTTTCTCCAGGACCAGTTTGAAGATCTCCTGATTATACCATGTTTCCTCCCCAGGGGTTTCGGGTGGCCTTGACAATACTTAGGAACAAGAAGGGGTAGGGCTTGGCAGATGACGTAGGCCCCAGAGGAGGGGCTGTCTGATTCTTGCCCCTTTGTACTGCCCGCTCCTTCTGACTCTGCCCTTTTCTCTGATCTTCTTCCTTACAATTGCCTTTATTTCTCAAGAGATAGACTAGCTAGTGAATGGCCTCTTGGAGGAGGAAGACTGTCTTAACACTCAGAGCTGTGTTTCTCCAGCTTCACTGTCCACCTGAATCTCTTGAGCACATACGAGCTCTGATCCAGCAGGTCTGGGTGAAGGCGGACTTCCTCAGTGATGGAAATGCCGCTGGTCTACAGACAACACTTTGAGGTGCAAGCTTTCGATTGTGTGTGTGTGTGTGTGTGTGTGTGTGTGTGTACACAGTCCCCATTGAGAGACTTGGTTCTCCTCCATTTTTAGATCAAGGATCCATTTGGGAATCTGATCAAAAGTCCTCGCTTCAGAAAAGGCACCCTGAACATGCACATAATTTTGTGGCAGGGGGTGGGGGAGTGGGTTGTAATAGGTCCTTGGTTAAGAATCCTCAACATAAATTTTTCCTTCAATTCAGTCAGGCATCCTCAGTACCCCACCCCATCTGGGCCTCAATGCTCTGGGAAATTCCCTAGGGTGTCAGCATAATTCCCTGGGACTCAATCTCCCAGGCTCAAAAATCTTAAAGTGTTGTGTTTTTGTGGGTACTGGAGAAAAATGTGTGCTCTCGGTCGCTAGGGGCAGGGAGTGTCTTCCTAATTATCACATTCCAATGCACATACAGATAAATGCTCAATACACATAGACAAGCGACCCATTCATTCTGCGTTCTCACATTGATTCTCTCAGCAGTTGTTCATTCAGTCTCTATTTGTTGAACACCTAATAGGTGCTTGGGCATCTGCTAGACTTGGGAAATGCAAAGGGAATTATCAAAAATAGACATGGAATAAAGGAAGACTGAAGGAGAATCGTTTGAATTGTGGTTCTGGCAAAGAATATTGAAAATCCCATAGACTCTCAGAAGAACAAGCACGCCTGTCTTTAGAAGAAGTACCGTCGGAATGTTCCTTAGGATTGAGGAGGAGGAGACATTGTCGCGTGGACTTTGGACATGTTATTAGGAGAGACCAGTCCCTGGCGAAGGACCATCATGCTTGGTAAAGTAGAAGGCCAGCAACAAACAAAGAGGAAGACCTTCAACGAGACAGACTGACACAAGAATGGGCTCAAACATAACCATTGGGAGGTTGGCACAGGGCCGGGCACTGTTCTCTTCTGCTCTACAGAGGGTTGCCGTGAGTTGGCACTGACTTAATGGCATCTCACCACAACAATCAAAAATGAATGAGACAGGGCCCCTACACTCTGTGTCTCACCATCACTGCTGAGTTGGCATGTGAGTAAGTAATTACTGGGAGAGGGTCTGCACAGATGCTGGGGAAGCACACAAACAGGTGCGCCTGTTCTGCGTCCTTTCCCGATGCACTCTCCTGACAGACCTGCACTCGGAGATGAACCTGTTTCAGGAAATCAGTAAAGCTGTACCCGTGCATATTCACAGACACGATTCCTCCTGTGCTCACAGACCCCTACCGCACAGCCACAAACACGTCCTGAGCGCTTGTGCACCAACGCCTGTCCTTTACCGCTCCCAAATTTGTGAGTATAACTCTAGGATTTAGAGGCCGTAGGGCTGAGCTCGTCCACATCCCTCATTGACAGATGAGAGCTCCACGTCTTGGAACGGGCAACCGGCTTCCCGGAGACCACCCAGTAAGCCTTTCATCTAACATGTCTGCTGGTTTTGTCTAAACACCCGCTTCCTTGTTGTCCAGCACAAGGAGGGATTTGGTGTTTCTGCTCTTGGACAACGATTTTCTTCTTAGACGAGGAAGGTCAAAATCTATACTGCCAGACCAGAGTAGGATGAAATCTGAATAATTCATAGGGTGAACCAACTCTGCCTAGAAAGGAGAGAACTTTCTATGATGGATGAGGACCCATCCATGGTCGGAAAGTGCAGCGTCCCCAGAACCACAGTTGCTAACCAATTCCATTCAAGAATTACGGAATGCCCAAAGTAGAAGGGCCATCTTGTTCCACGCCTCCACTTTACAGGTTCCAATGCATGCAGGTGGCAGGCTGGGGATATGAACCTGACCATCCACGGTTCTTTGCTTTGTTTAAGATGGGGCAGAGTCTATGGGACGTTCCCTGGTACGATATCTGAGATGCGAGAGAGGAGGCTGGCGTCGGGGTACCAATTTAATCATAATGATAGTGTTGAGATGAGGGTGGGGGTAGCACAAATGCAGAAAGTTTCAACCAGGAGTCAGCCATAAGCTGGGGCGCATCCGGATGTCTCCAAGTGGCAACTGGGTACCCACCACAGCTCTGCTCCTCATCTTCGACCTGGCTTCTGCAGGTCCTGCGTGACCACATTGGCTACCGTTACGAAGTTCTGGAGATGATCGGGAAAGGGTCCTTTGGACAGGTGGCCAAGTGCTTGGATCACAAAAACAATGAGCTGGTGGCCTTGAAAATCATTAGGAACAAGAAGAGGTATGGCTTTGGCAGATGGTATAGGCCGTAGGGGAGGAGGGGCTAGAGGAACTTCTTTCCCCTTCAAAGTGCCAACTCCCTCTCTCTGCCTTCTTCTCTGCTCTTCCTTTTCCTGTTTCTCTGTCTGTCTGACTCCAAGATGGGGAAAAAGAGGCAAAGGCACCGAGGTTTTCTTGTTGGGGTCGGGGGTCGGGGGCTTAGGAGGTAGCCTGACTGATGTAGCATGGCACGACACCTGTGTTTCCTCTCCCCGTTCCTCACTCCCTGCCCTGTCGATCACCTCAGATTTCACCACCAGGCCCTGACGGAGCTGACGATCCTGGAAGCCCTCAGAAGGAAGGACAACGACAACGCCTGCAACGTGGTGCACATGAAGGACTTCTTCTACTTTCGCAATCACCTCTGCATCACCTTTGAACTCCTGGGGTTAGCGGCTTCCTTTTTGGGGGAAAAAAAACTGCATTTGAAAGGGGGGCCTAAGTGACTGAAGAGAAAGTTTGAAATCAGAACTCTAGATTTTTCTGAATGTGAACATTTAAGGACGAGGGTGAACTCAACAGCCACTTAGTTCCCTAGGAGGCCCAAGAGCATGATGTCAGGGTTCCAAAGCTGCCCGTTTCTCCCCACCTCTCCTCATCCTCAATCATGCCTATCACCTGCCAGCATGTCCATGATCTACTGCACAGGTGCTAGGCACTGCATTGAGGGACACACCCAAAACAAGGCTCCGACCTCGATATCTAAACTGAAATAGGTTGAAAAGGACTTGTATTTGCTCCCGTAGCCCGCATTCACTGGCTTCTCAGTCCCAGGGTGCAGAGGTCGGCACCCAAGAGTGCAGGCAGCTGGCTGCCGAGCATACGAAAGGCTTTGATTTTAGGCAGACAAGAACCGGGGAAGATATTTTGGTACGAGATCAGAATCTGACTTAAATAGATTGGCATCAGCTGGCAGGATATTAGAATGGAAAGGGACTGGGAAAGTATGCTGGTTTGATTATGTTTCCCTCTGAGAAGACCATCCAATGTGACTTAAATAAAGCCAGAAACCCAGCATGCATTTAGCCAAAGAGAAAGCCCAGGGTCAGCTCTCAGAAGTCCAGTGTGATTGGATTCACTGGGCTGGTAACTCTGTGCTCCCATGATATCACTATGAACGATGAGATCTAGGAGCTGGCTAAATTTGAGACAGAGTTTAGCCTCTTCTCAGCATCTCTGACGATTATAAAAGATGGCACATGGGTGGATTCCCTGCTCTATAGCAGAGCAGACAACACAGGCTGCCATTCTTGGCCATCACTCATGGAGTACAATTAGGATGCCATTGTGCTTAAAAGAGCTCTGGGAGGTCAAGAGAAGCAGATGTAGGTCTTCAATTGAGATGTTCTCCCTGAATTGCATGGAGGGAGAGTCCAATACCCAGAGGTGGGGGTGGGGGTGGGGGCAGTACCTAGGGTCACATAGCCGGTCAGAATGGGGCCAGAGCCAAGTTCCTCACATCCCCATGGTACCCTGAAAGTATGAATGGCCTTCTAGGCACCACACAGAGAGAGAAAGCTTAGAAATGGAAAATCAGGAGAGACCAGGAGGTTGATGCAAAGTTGCTTCATCAGACGGTTTTCACAGAGGCAACAAACTGGCAGCCCAGGGCCCTGCTTCTGCTCGGCTCACGCAGCATCATAAAACGCTTCGTGTGACTTTCCATGTTTGTGAATTAGTGGATTTCATATAGCATTATAAAACGCTACGTGTGACTTTCCATGTTTGTGAATTAGTGGATTTCATGTAGTAGAGCATAGTCCCTAGCGCTCTCTGGCAAGAGTAAACCTCGATTCCTGCAAGGTGACCATTCGTTGGGACCAGCCGGTCAAGTTTGCTTCAGACAGGGCTGGGGTTCTCTCTTATTGTCCCTAAGCCCCCATCTGCCCCCTCTCCAGTTGCTGTTAGCAATCTGAACTCTTTCAGACAACTCTTCCTGTTTGGTAAGTAGAGTGGCAGCAAGGGCGAGCGGAGACCCACAGTGACAGAGATTGGCCTCACCGCCACCCATCTAGACTCAGCCCTGCTGACAATGGTGAGGTGGTGCGAGACTGAGGAACATTGTGTTCTGTCGTACATAAGGTTGCCATGAACCAGAGTGGACCCAACGACATCCTCCCACCTGCCTACCTTTTAGGTTTAGGTGTGACTGACTGCTTGCTTTAGTATCTTGTAGGTTTCTTGGATTCCTCCAGAGGGGCTGACATACTATGAACAGTGTTTAGAAGTTTGGTCCAACCTCGTAACATCCATATCCCTGAGAACGTAATCACATGCTATGTTCACGTGAGAAATGAGAGGACTCCGAGAGGCTAGCACTGCTGAGCTGCACCTTGAATCCACCCTGAATTAGAGGGAATGTTGAGTTTATTGGACACGAGAGCCCTGCCTCCTGGGCTCAGGCGGGACTCCTACTAGAGGAGCAGTTCTCACCCTGTGGGTCCGTGACCCCTTTGGGGGTCAAACGACCCTTTCACAGGGGTCACCCAATTCATAACAGTAGCAAGATGGCAAGGATGAAGTAGCATCAAAAATACTTTTATGGTTGGGGGTCGCCACAACATGAGGAATTGTATGAAAGGGTCGCGGCACTAGGAAGGTTGAGAACCACTGGACTAGAGGGAACCAGGATGGTATGGGATTATCTGTAGGTTCAAATCCGGCATTATACTTTTGGTTTTTTTTTAATACTGATGCACCTCTCTCTGTCTGTCAGAATCAACTTGTATGAGCTGATGAAGAACAACAGTTTCCAAGGCTTCAGTCTGTCGATAGTCCGACGCTTCACCCTCGCTGTTTTGAAGTGCTTACAAATGCTTTATGTGGAGAAAATCATTCACTGTGACCTTAAGCCGGTGAGCCTACCCTTGGTCCTACCACAAGGATGAGTCCCCACCCTCAGGGACCGCTAACCCCATTCCAGCCCCCAGGCGTCACTTGGGGAGCCCTCATGGCCAGGATTTTCAGGATAAGAGAAAAATGAATCATCTTCAGATGCTTTGTAAGGTGCTATGAAGACCAGGACACAATAGTGTGTGTGGGGGGGGGAGGTTGGGCGCGCCGTGGTGTAGACGAGGCAGATAACGCCCACTGGAATGTTAGCTCCTCTCAAGGTCAGGCACAATAACTTTCTCACTATTGCATTTTCCTGGGCCCAACATAATACCTCGGAGTCTTGGTGCCATAGTACAGCGTGCTAATCACAAGGTCAGCAGTTAGAAGCCACTTGGAGGGAGAAAGATGAGACTCTCTACTCCATAAAGATTTACAATTTCAGAAACGCACTGGAATGGTTCTGTTCTGTCCTACTGGGACACTGAGCTGGAATTGACTCAATGCCAATGAGTTTTGAGCAAGTTTTTGTTTTTGTTTTTCTTTAAACGTAATACCTAGTCGTGGTAAGGCAGGCAAATAAACCCATGCGTATTAAGCACGTTAATGATTGCAAATGCGTGGCAGAAAATACAGGGGTGTCCTGACGCTCAGAGATAGCAATGATTCTGAAATTTTATTCACTCTCTTCTACCCAACCTCCACATTGTTTTTGTAAAAAGTTTCAGAAAAATTCACGGAATGCATTTGGGATATTTTTACAACAAAGATCATTAAGAAGGGGGGCTTTCTCTTGGGCCTGTGTACTAATCCAAGCTCCACATCCAAATTCTTAATCCTGAATGTTGCAACTCGAAAGACCTCAATAGCCTGGATCCGGTGCTGATCCCCTTGCGGCAAACACATTCCCAAGACACTGGGCAGCAAGAGCTTGCCTTGAGCAACGGCGATCAAACCGACTGGACTATGTTTGCCCATCTGACGATGTCTGCATGGGAAGTCATGCAACCTAATAGTGTTTGGACTCAAGAGTCACACGATCATAGTGATGGACTTATGGTTGGGAGTGAGGAGCTGTGGTGGCCTGATGCTTCCACCCTCTCGGCACAGCTATGTCTGCCAGGATGTTGGGAAGCCCAGCAACAGCTAGTTAAAGAGCCTCTCCTGGCAGAATGAGAAGCACACCAGAAATTCTTGTTCTTTGAAAGCCTCTTTTTCCCCCCCTCAGGACAAATAATGAGACTAGCAATACCAGGAGGGAAAGGGGAAGGTGGGAGGAAAAATGGGGAACCGATCACAATGATTGACATATAACCCCTTCCCAGGGGGGACGGACAACAGAAAAGTGGGTGAAGGGAGACAGTGGTTGGTAAAAAACATGGAAAAAAAGTAATTTATATATTATCAAGGGTTCATGAGGGAGGGAGGGTGGGGGAGGGAAAATGAGCTCATACCAAGGGCTCAAGTAGAAAGAAAATGTTTTGAAAATGATGATGGGCAACATATGTACCCAGGTGCTTAACACAATGGATGGATGGATGGATTGTGATAAGAGCTGTTAGAGTCCCCAATAGAATGACTAAGAAAAAAAGAAAGCCACCTTTTTAAGACTTTCACTGACCACCCTCCTTCAGCTAACTCAAGTATTCTTTGCAGAAGGCCTTAGGAAATCAATCGGGACTCTCTCGGTTTGTGGTCACGGAGGCGTCGGCCCGGGCTTGTTATGTCATCTCTCGGCGGTTAGGGTGCTCTGTCAGTGGTCACACCATCAAGCCAGCTGACAGTGAGACTCGAAAACACAACCAGGACTTTATCTTTCCAGCTGCGGCACCACTCAGACTCTTGCGCCGTGAACGTGGAGCTCTGCCTTCTCACTCGGGGCTCTCCTGCAACATCTGGCTCCCCAGATTCTACCTGCTGGATGTGCTCCGATCTCCCCCACGTCACCATAGGAATCAGACACGCCAACCAAATGGTGATTTTACGAGTTTGCTGTCTACTCTCATGCAATATGTCAGTAGGGGCATGTTAAAAATGTTTATTCAGTGCCATTTCATAGAACCAGGTGTCAAGGAAGATCTAAGCCCCATTGTTGTAGGAATTGTAATCTGCATAGGAAAAGAGACAAAACTCTATGGAAAAGACACACTACAAAGCAATGAACACTGGGCCCAAACAAGAAGAGCACAGTACACTGGAATGCAAACCAAACTGCCAACCAAGCTTCAAATTGTTTTGGTAATTTGGGAGGACAATGGGATTTGGAGAAAATGTGGAAAGAGGTCACCGGGGAGTGGTAGCATTTTGAATGAATTAGGTCTTGGAGGATGGGGAGTATTTGGGCAAGTAGAGAGTCCATGGCTGGAACATTATCAAAGCCCAACCTCTGTCTGTCTTCTTCTCTCTAGGAGAATATAGTGCTATACCAAAAGGGTCAAGTCTCTGTTAAAGTTATTGACTTTGGATCAAGCTGTTATGAACATCACAGAGGTAGCTACCAACTCAGCCCCACTGTCTGACTTTTTCTATTGAATTCCTTTCCCTTTCTGTAAAAAAGGCATGGGAGAGCATCTGACCTCCTCCACATGGTGGAAGGTTGCCTACAGTCTAATGTAGAATATAGGAAAATTTAAAAGCATAGAGGTGCAATTATTAGAAGTCTGTTGTATTAGTCTGAGTTCTGTGTGGCCATTGAAATGGAGCAGCACAGTGCTGTGGGAGAGATGGTTGGTATGAGAAATGGTAGTGGAGGCATGTTTGACTAGAGAAACACATTCATAGACACTCATATGTGTATAAGAAAGAGCTTTATGTAAAGGGTAATTGCATATTAAGAAAACATCCCAGCCCAGTCCAGATCAAGTCCATAAGTCCGATATTAGCCCATATGTCCCATACCAATCTATAAATTCCTCTTCAGACTCACGAAACACATGCAATGAAACCAAATTCAGGAAGATCACGGGCTAGTGGGTGGAAAGTATTGTGGATCCAGTGGTGGTGGAAGCATCTCAGTATTGACATGGCTCTCCATGTGGTTCCTCCAGCTCCAGGGTTTTGGCTCCATCAATATAGCTCCCTGTGGCTTGCCAACAGGAATGTCTCACAGGGAGAGAGTGTCTCACCTTGCCTCCAGGGAGGAAGACAGGAGTTCCCAGAATCCTCAGGAGAAGCCACACAGAGGCCTCATTGGCAATGACCTGATTGACAGGCTAGACTCTACCTTTTCCTAAAGTTGACAGTAGATTTATGTGACTGCCACACATGGAAAGGCTGTGTTAAGAGCCTGCAGAAAAGGGACTTTGGGACCAGCCACTAAGGTGGCAGCAGGTATCAGAGGAAGCCTCTAGAGGCTGGCACCAGGATGAATGGTTGTCAGTACTCTGCTGAACCACTGTTGAAGACCTATGCCCTTTCTATCTGTTAGATGTTGATCCCTGTAAAACATTCCCTCTAGAAACCAATGTCTCCCTTACAAGCCAAGAAACACAACAGCCACAAAAGCTTGTATCTTTACTCTGAGCTATGAAAAGCTGCATCATCTGTTAGTTCCAGTTGGCTTGGCTGCCAGGATACTTAAAACTGAATTTGTCCTTATGGTTTCTTATGATCATTTCCCCTATTGCCTTTCTATTTTCTGGCTTTCCCCTTTATTTGTAATTTAACCACGAGGCAGTACAGAGTACGGATACTAGGCTCAAACTCTCCAGCCGGCCACTTAGAGCTGAGTGCTCTCATCTTGCAAATGGGCACAGTGCTGTGCAAGGCCATTGTAACGACTGAAACTGCATTAGTAGAAAGCACCTGGAATACTGCCGGCCACCTGGGCATCCGCCTAAAAGATCTGTGTTTGTATGCACATCAACTGTAAAGTACCTGAAGTCCATTTTGAAAGCAGGCAGGATGTAGGAATCGTTTTACTAAATCTCGATTTTGTTTTACGTTATAAAATGATTATATCCTCTCTGTAACCAATACAAACAAAAAGTAACTGATTCCCATGTCCCTTCCCCTCCTCCTAGATCCAGGTGACCACCAGTCACAATTTAGACCCCACCCGCATTTAGGTAACCGCCAGATACCCACGGTCACTGTGTTAGTCTGGGGAGACTAGAGAAACAAATCCACAGAAATGCATATGCATATAAGAGAGAGTTTTATATAAAGGGTAAGTGTACATTAAGAAAGCATTCCAACCCAGTTCTGTGAAAGCCCAGAAGTCCAACCTTAGCCCATATGTCGGACACCAATCTATAAAGTCCTTCTCAATCTCACAAAGCACATGCAGACACCGACTGCAGGAGGAAAGCCATAAGCATTTCAGCACTGGCAGGGGTCTCCACGCGCCTTCTCCAGCACCCAGGGCTGCATCAGGGTAGGTCCATGTGGCTTCTCAGGGATGTCTTGCAGGAAGTGAGCCTTGACAGCTGAAGCAGGGAATTGGCTAAGGCAGCTGCACCCTGGT